AAAAGACACTGATGTTGGGAAAGTGTGAAGGCAAGAGGAGAAGGGGACGACAGAGGACGAGATGGTTGGACAGTGTCATCGAAACTACCAACATGAATTTGACGAAACTCTGGGAGGCAGTGGAAGACAGGAGGGCCTGGCGTGCTCTGGTCCATGGGGCACGAAGAGTTGGACACGACTGAACGACTAAACAACAAAACAATAGGATCAAGCGTAAGCCATTCTCTGTGCTACACAACTTATCTCATTTTAATTAAAAATATTCAAAAACAGTAATTTGAACAAAGGACAAAGCATTTTCTTCTTGTGCAATGTACACTTTTTGTTTAAGTAAGATATGGAAATTAGTTGTAACCTGTAAAAAAGCAGCACATATTTTCTATTGTTTTCTACATAATTTGTGGCAGGTTCTAGCTGGCATCTACTATGAACTTTCTTCTCTTTAAAAAATGGTAGCAATCTCAAAACTATTTCTTACGTCACTAATGTCCTGATGTAGTGGAGCTGTAGATATGTTGGGGCTAACATACTAGGAGGGCATGGAGGCTAAAAACCAGGCAAAATTATTTAGCACTTTAAAGACTAACCGTGTGAGCTTTTACGAATCAAAATAATTTTTTTTCCAGATCAAAATCCACCTATTTAAACAGAGTGCAAAATGCACAGCCTGATTGTAGTGAACACCATATTCCTATATATACAATCATATTGGCTTACACCAATGGGGGGAGGCGGATCCAGAGAAACTAGAAGGGTGGGGTGAGTCAGTGTCTAGTCAATTGAGTCAGAGACAGAGTTTTGAGAGAGAAATAGTTTAAGGGTTTGAAGCATAGAGAGTGTTTAAGGAGTGATTAGTCAGTGTGACCTGCATTCATTAAGACAGTTAATGTAAAATACTGAAGCTTCGTGTAACTTTATGTGCTTAAAAACTAGTCCTAAAACAACTTGTAATCAATAAACCTGTTTATGTTTAAAAGTTCAGTATGGAATGGACCTCAGTCTTTCATAGGAAATATAGGTTGATAAAGAGATCAACTGGTGGCAGCGTGTTAAAGGGCATGTTGGGATACCTTTGTGAGATCTGTGTTTGGTGAAACAAGCAGAGGCCATGGGGTAAATGCCACACTGATATTTATACATATCCTTATGATCAAGTGATGATCCAGGTAAAAGCTAAAGGGACAATGTTTTTTTAACGACAGCAATCTTTTAAATTGTTGATAGTCACCTGGCTTTTCTCTCAATCAGGCAGCTCTTCTTTGGCACAGTTTAAAAAATGGAAGTTGGGGAGTACTTAAACTGATTATCATTACTTTGATACCTTCTGATCAGCTTACATTATTTTAAATAGTACTCAATAATTCAAGTGCTCTGATGGAAAATATGCTTTCTTTTGTATCTACCCTCCTCCAGCAATTAAAATCCACCAAAAACCTATGGCCCCAATATGCTTTCTTTTGTATCTACCCTCCTGATTTCTGATGGGGGAATGAACAAAAAAGACTTTTATACACTGACATTGGCAGGTTCACACAGGTTGAGGTACTCTTTTGGATATCTTGATTTAAGAACTATAGTAGCAGAGAAGTACTGGAGTAGCATAACACCATAACAGACACATGTTCCTGAACAAGTACCAAGATGCTGCTACTGCCAAGAACCAATGGCAAAATCCTACTGATGTTCTACATATATGTTAGGGCAAACTGGGCTGTCAAATCAGTGCTTGCCTGTTTGCACAAAGGAGAATCTGCTGGAGGGGGAGACACACCAAAGTAATCGCCTTATGCAATAAAAATAAGTGAACTAGATTCCAGCCTTCTAAGGCAAGAGCCATATCTAAGCTACAACCAGTTTTTATGTTACCATAAAGAAAATTTCCCACTGCTTTTCCAACCTTGGATATACTTTGTGATGTAATCCACTATCTTCATTATCTACTGCTGCTCAGTTCATTCAGTCTACTTTGAAACTGGATCTAAACTTTATGGCTTACATCCTCCCAGTGTTTATACTTCTCTACTTCTTCTTCCATCTTTTTTTTTTTCTTTTTGGGGGGTATTATCCAGACTGGAGAACTGGAATTTCTACTGGCTGTTATGGAATTTAAGGCCCAATAAAGATATTGCCCAACTGCTTTTCTTCTCATTTCAACAACGGTGGTTAGTTTTATTTTTCAGCATGAGCATAGCAATCCAAACAAGGATCAAGTTGATGATCTTCAAAAAAAGACCTGCAACAGTCTTAGGAACTGCCAAATGGCTAGAACCAATTTGTCAGATTAGAGTCAGGATAATTACTAATTAATTGGTGAGCACTAACTAAGTGGTGAGTGCTCTCTGTTTCTTCTCTTCCTTCCTGCCAATAAACGTATTTCAATGCCTAAGGTTTACATAAGATACAGTATGTGAAATTCATAAATATATTTAACTGTATCAGAAATATAGTAGAATACCTTTTAAAAAATATTTCAGCTTTCAGCAGCTGTGTGAACTAGTTCCCAGTCTTCTCTCCATTAAAGTGAATACTATGATTAACAACATATTTAGCTATGGCTTAGCTTCACGCAGGATAACCAAGAGGGAAGATAACTAGCACTGTTCCCTAATAAACTAACAACGTGTGTTTGGTGAGACTTATTCCTAAGCATGTACAGTATATGGATATAGTCTATCCATCTTAACAAGTTTGTTCCTGTCAATTCATTTATATGATCTGGTCTTAGATAAGTGCATACAGGACTTTAGGCCTCTGGCTGTAGAGCCAGAGGTTGGGAGTTCAATTCCTACTGTGTCTCCCTGACAGGGGCTGGACTCAATGATCCTTGCAGCTCTTCAGTTCCAAAATATACAGATTACATCCAGATTCAAGTAAAGGTTTTGTGGAATCTTTGTTAGCTGACCTTTGCAGTTTCCCAAGTAATGATTATTTCCACACACAACAAGGAGTGGCACAGTCTTTTGTGTAGACTTGTCAGGATAAGTCTGTGCTTCAGTGCTAGCTGATCTGTGCAAGCAAATTGAAATCAACTCCATCTCGTTCTTTATGATATATTTTTCATGAGAAACCAACAATAGAGCAGTGAACATTCTGTCTTGAACCTCTGCAACAGCATGTTCGCTGTTATTCCAACATACATGTGGAGTAATAAACTATGTGTGCATGGTTATAATCAATATAATTCACAGGACTGCATCACCATTTTTTCTGAACTACTTGATTATCTCCATGATCATTCACTCCACACACTGTATTTGAGACACATGATCATATATTAAAAACATTTCTAAAGATATCATGCTGGTCTCAGTTCTTGGTTTTCTTTAACAACAAAAAAAGCTTTCTTCTTTTTTGCCACCGACAACTTTTTCTGAATATGTGCAGTTTCCTTGCACATATTACTGGTCTTATAAATAACTAGGAGACAGAGGTAATACCTGAACTAGTATTACTCTTTGCCCCCTACTTCTCCAATTAACACAAGCAGTGCAAACTTTATCCTTCCAGGATTTCTGTCAATTCGGTTCAGTTGAAAACTTATAACCAGCCAAAGGTCTCCTGCAGAGCTTGAAGGCTGAAGAACCTCAATGGAGCAAGAACTTGCTTCAACTACTCTTCCACTGCTTCAGACTTGCCATTTCAACAAATCACCCCAATGTATTATTCTACTGTAGGGCCGCCCTTATCTGCAGAACCAGTATCTGCTGATTCACTTATTGTGTATAGCATTAAAAGTGTTCGCTATAATCCGCGTTTTTGGAGCATCTGCAGGGGGGACTTGGAACCTATCCTACTGTATATCACAGATCATTTGCTTATTCAGTATAAATGACTTCCTGGGGTAAAAATGAAGGACAACGTTCCCTTTCTTGCTCTTTTTATGACCCCATTGGGAAGCATCGCCCTTTACCTATTCCAACTCCGCAACAACCCCGCGAAGCAGAACAGCCTCTGAGAGGGAATGGGGGGGAGGAGAGCCCCATGAGGGTCATTCAGCGACGGTGCTTCACAAAAAAAGGAAGAAGCCCGAGCTCTTAAGAGCTGGACGTGAGGCCACAACCGCTCTCGTCCGAAGTTTACTTTCCCCTTTTATAGCGGGAACTCCATGAAGGAAAAGGAGGGAAGAGGGAAATGGGGGTGGGAAGAGAAACCTGTCTTTTTTGGAGGGGAGGGCGCCATCCTCGGACCACAGAGAGCCCTCAGCGCTTACCTGAGCCCGGCTAAGGCCGAGGCATGGAAGAGCCTGGCG